AAAAAAATAAAAAATCCCTCAAACGTCCACCCAGTTACTCAGCGCGAAGGATTTGTTGTGGTGGTAATTGTGAACATTGCAGTTTCTACGAACCCAAAACCAACAAGCATGGAGGTTGTAAAGGAACATGCACTTCCACGTCCGTGATTGGCTCAGTATGCAGATTTCGTTGGTTCATAAAGCAAAGGCGCCCATAAGGAGAATGATGACGTACTGGTTGAAAATCTTCCAAACCCCTCCGGTCCGTGATCCTCCCTGGCGCCTCCATCCACCGGCTCTGGCGAACATACCCCAAGCTCAGGGAGGCGCGCGGTGTGGATCTGCCAGCAATGGAGATTCACAGGGCAGTTCATTAGTGACCTTTTGATGGTTTTGATGACTGGTTATATACACATGTTTTTCCTCTAGATGGCACAAAACATCACAAAACTCAATCACAGGGACGTAAAATTTGCCGTTCCTCATAATGTTATCTTTTAGTTCATCACTGCCACACATATCAAGTATGGATAGACTCGATGGAACAGGTCAAACACGTGACCCTGTCCTAGGTACAGCTGATCAATGTTCCAAGTTCCAACGTGTCATTCATATTCATTCCCCAAAAGAGACCCTAAACTCTAAACACGCATGTATATACACAGCAATCCAGCTACAAGTAGCTGCTTGCGCAGGACATCCGGCTTGCAAAGAAACGGTGCCATTGGGGGACGATCTGAACAAGCGACAGGATCTGCAGTCGATCGATCTCGCCCTGGCCCTTTTTCATTCTTACATTCTACATCGTAACTTGCTTGGTCATTAGATAGGTTTATATAATGGTAAACCTGCAAAACCACCTGCTCGAGGATGCGCAATGATGCATTCAACAACTCCTTCTAAGAGCCACTCCTTTTGGGACGTCTACAGCACTGCTGCACCACAAAACTCTTGAGCGAAGCTGGCTTATATATATATATATAAACATTATATACAAGTTAGTTTCTGCGAACGAAGTGAGTTTAGGGGGCGCGGCGGCAGATGTGACTCTAGTCAAGTCAGCCTAGTGGTGTTTTTACACTTTTTGGCGCTCAGGTTTGGATGGAGTCATCTCCCTTTCATTGTCCAAACATGCCTACCGGCTGGCGTTCGTAGTAATTCCCTGAAACATCGAGTTGATGAAACCGAACGTAGCCAGCGGTATTTCAGTCCGTCAGTCCCTTGATGTTTGGCAAGATGTGGTGGGTGAAACACCTTTTCGAATTTGAAAGCAAGCCCACCAACCGCCACCCTAGTCCTGGCAAAACTCTCCGGCGTTGAAAAGGCCTCCAAGGGTTGAAAGCCCTCCATCATGGCCGCATCAGTGCTTCCTCGCTGGCGAGGATCGGCTATGAACGCTTCTCATTTTACAATTTCAGTGTGTGTTTTACCTTTCTTTTTTCCAGGGGCTTGTGTTCGTGTGTTCCAAATGATGTGATTCAAGGTATAGTCTTCTAAACATCTCCGGAAACATTCAAACTTCAAGATGGATCACTTTGTCATACTTTGTCCATGTGCAGGCAGGCAACGCGCCGAAACGGAATCCCGAAGGACTGGGGCCGGCGGAAAGCTCAACACATTGGGACCTAGAAATTATTGCGAGGTTGGAGAGGAATGTCATTAATGGTGATTCTGTGATTGCCCAAGGTCAAAGCAGCTCAATTTAGCAAAGCTCAAGAAGCCCCTTCCAACAGTGGGCTTCAGATCCACAAGGAAGCAGCAAGGACAGGCATCGGGAAGTTTTGCCATATATCACATATTTCAACCTCAAGCTTGGGCTACTGGCTAGTCACCGGACGGCTGGCTGTTTGAAGTGCACCAAACAGGTGCCACCTGCACCGGTGATTCGTTCGATGCAGCTGCATGCAGCTGCACATGCTGAAAACGCATCTGGCTTCGTACGGTGCATCATGCTGATAGCATCTTCGGTGCTGATCGGCACCGTTTCTCATGGACCACTGCATCCAGCGCACGAACTGTCTCTCAGACTTCGATTTCTGACTCCTCACGAAGTGTAGTAAGTGTCTTGTGACCGCAGCATGTCGAGCTGCTGATAGATCGTTGTGACCGCAAGAAAGGTCACCTTCGACCTTCCTCTGCTTCGCAACTGAGATCAACCTCTTTGTCAGCGAAGGAAGACTCCCGCTCTCGCTGAACAAGCGCCACAGAACACAAAGATTGCATTCACAGTGTATACACCCTGCCCGGACCCTCCGATTACATACAAGTGTCTCCAGTCACCCTCTCACAAGGTATGCAAATCCATATGGACAGTAGTATGTATATATATATATATGCATGATCCATGAATGAAGATGAGTGTTTCAAGCTGCCCTGACTGAAACAAATGGTCTCCAAGTTATTTTTACTTCTCAGGTCACGTTCTTCGGTTCCATGAGCCGACGAACCGCAGTCGAAGAACATGAAGTTCTTCCTGGGAGTCACCAGCAAAGAAGAGCAGAATCCTTCTGGTTGAGTTTGTCAACTGCATTCTTTATGGATTCCATAGTCTGATCAATCGGATTCATACGGTCCGTAGGTCAACCGTCTGGTGCAACAGTGTAAATGATGCCATAATGCCATGAAGTATGATGTTTGACCAGCCTCAAATGTTCGGAGCCCTTGGTTGTACCGAGCCTGTTGATTCAGTTTTGGGCCGCTGGTCCCTAAGCTTCTTTGGTTTGCAGGGTCATTACCCTGCCTTCGCGCCCCCCTGTCCTTGCCACTGTCGTGGTCGATGACCCTCGTAGAAGGTTGACCACATGTCGTGTGAGCTGTTGTTGCATCCATGTGGGAAGCCGATGGCAAAGTACCTGGAACGAGGCTCGAAATGTCCATGGATCCATGAATTCCGTCGTTCAATCCACCAATCCACTTGCCGAAAGGGCTTGCTTTTGGCCGCTCATGTACCAGGGGCCCCACAAACCATAAAAAATCTGGCAAAAGCATGGTTTTGTATGTGTATGAGAGAACCTTTGTTTTTTTTTCATTGTTTTGAGGGGCCCTGGTACGTATACATATATTATATATATATATATCATCAATTGAACACAAAGGGTCCATTAAGACAAAGTTCACCATGTTTCTCCTTTCCCACTCTTCCCAAAATGTCCAAGCCCAGCCAGGACCAGTACTGTATTCAAACAGTGGCCGCAAAGTAAGAAAACGCATGAAAACACCATAAACCAAACGAGTCTTATCTCCGATTGTTGAATTAGGATGTCGAATTGATCATTAATGTGCTATGGTCAATTATGGTTCAATGATGTTCAATGGTTCATCGTCCTTTCCCTTCCCACGAGACCTAGCTCTCTACGGTCCGACAGAAATGGTGGGGACGCGCCAAGAAGAAAAACAACGCGAAAATCCAAGGCGTTCGGTCAACGAGCTGTGATTCTTTTACATCTTGATTGCTTTGACTCTCGACATCACTCGACTCCACAACATGTTTCATGAAATCCACGGCACAAACGGAACCTGTCCAAAGACTCGTCGACGGTCTCTCGACGAGTCGAGAGATGGCGCCTGGCTCGGGCATCCTGCAGCTCCCTCGGGGACGTGGACGTCCATTGAGCAAAGCCTCATGGGGATCAATAGAGGTTGCGCCATCCAATACCAGGACCCATGGCGGTGGGCCATGGACACCCATAAGGGGTGGGGAGGGTGTGGTGCAACAGGCACTTTCGAAGGCGGTTTCGGGATGAAGATGTAGACGGATGAAGAGCGAATGCGGCCTGCAGCCCCGAGCAGCAAGATGCTGTCCGTGTACCAGCATCGACGATGTGCCACACCCCCTCCGGTTGCCGCGTTCAGGGGTCAACTCTCCCACAAAACAGGTCGCGCAAGGAAGGCGTTCATTGTTCGTTAGAATCTGCAGTCTCATGCTTTCACAGTCACTATAGGGCTCCAACCATATCCTCAGAAGGTGGTTAGACCCCGCTGGCACCCACCCCAACCTTCGGGGGATGTGGTTGGAGCCCACGAGAGTACCAGTACAACCTGACTAGGCCACCGCCCAATGCCCCGCATGACCGGCTCACCGCCAGCATGCAGCACGTCGTACAAAGCTCCGCAGCTTTAGAAGATGAAACCGTTGCTGGCCATTTGGTTCGACCAATTCAACAGACTCATCCGACCCATCTTGAAGTCTGAGGATACGAAAATTCCACCCACCAAATGAGTGCTCAAGCTGCCAGCTCAGACCCAGTCTGACCAGTGGCCCCAGTGGCAAGAGGACTGGACACGCGATTGCTCCCGATATATAGAGGGTGCAATGTATCATTTCCGGCATTCCCTCAAGCTATCCTCATCACTCTTGTGGACATGGTTAGTAACACCCTGGGCAACAAAACGATCCCGTCTTGAAAATGGTTGGCAATCCTGCTGAACCAGGGGGCATGGGGAATCCGTGATAGTAGCCACTGCTGCGGCGGCATTTGCAGTTCAAAGGAGCAAGTGTTCTGGTCTGACCGCATTGAAGAATCGGAGCTCTTCCGTTTCTTAGACAAGTTGGAAATAGTCTAGACACGATAATGTGATGTAACAAATTCTTTCCAACTCCTTCTAACGTGCACCACTAGAGTGTTCACATAACATAACTTCACAGAACATAACACAAAATATATAACAATAATAAACATCATAAAAAATGCTCCAATCCCAGCTTGATTTGTTCGCACCATCGTGTATATTTCACCCCTTCTGTAATATTATATAGTAATAGGATATTGCTGTCTTGTCAATCCTGTTGGGGATGGGGGTCCAACCGATTAACAGGTTATGCAATCTTCTTGGACGCATTCTATAGTGTTCACTGCTTCGTCACCACCCCTAGCTTGATGGTCCAATATCTCGCGAGCTCCATCTGGGGGTCGTTGGGTCGTGGCACCAACCGTTCGCCCTCCAGCTACGCCGCCCCGGCCGCCGAACTGCGCCGCTGCGCCGTTTGACTCCCAGCGACGATCATCCATGGTGGCACGCTCCGTGAACCAGCTGAGGGCGGCATTGCTCGCCTGGGGCGGCTGCGGCTGTCCGACCACCAAGAAAACACCCCTACCCTCTGGTTGGCAACAGGGTGGCTAGTAGAAAAATTAGTACTTAGAAACCGAACCCACCTGAACCCCCAACCAAGTCGACCCTCCATTTGTCGACCAAGAAAACTCACCTTTCACAGCATGTTTTACGATCATTGGAAGAGTTCTGTTTTCGTGCTCTGAGTGCCATTTTGCTCAACCTGGTTGTTGTGGATGTTTGTCTTGTCTTGCCAAAAAGCTCCCTGGTGAAGTGGAACAAACATGAACAGACCATCCCCTTGACCAAAGTTCCGATGTCACAACTACTCAGCAAACGGAACACATCTTTCCAACGCAAGAATCCCCAGTGGGTGGCTATAGCTTTTTGTTTTGGGAGGGCAGCCGTGCTTGATGCTGGGGTCAAAACGCCCACTGGCACCCGTTGGTCCTTTGGTCAACATGTCGTGTGTACACGACCTCTCGTTGCTGCCAGTGAATCCAAAAGATAGATGTCTTGAACAAAGATGGAGGGTTGAATATTTGGGAGATTAATTCTAATAGGGAGGTCTCCAACCAATGGGTGGACTGTGTTTCCAGGTTTTAAAAAACTGGCTGTGTGTCATGGCACCAGGATACCGACCGGTTGACCTGGGAGCTCGTTCGCTACGGGGCTCCAGCTTTTGACCTGTCCCCATTTCTGACCTTGTGATGCGATATCGACAGCGTGATGAATGTTGTCTATCAGCATCTGAGGAACTCAGTGTGTACTTGTTGGTTTAAGGGCTATATTATGAGTCTGAGTCTGAGTTTTCTTCCAAATCTACCCAACATTTGTTCTAATGGGCTCTTCTTTCGCATATTTCTGTTGCAGCTTTGTTGCTTGCGTTTTGGCTGCGCGAAACATTTTTTGGAATCTTTCCCGGACAGGGCTGCTTTGCAGGAATCAGGGGATGCTCTACTTACATGCACATATTAATGTATGTTGTTATGTTGGTATCTAACAAGCTTTTGCAGTGATTCAAGGCTTTTCATCCCTGCCCCTTTTGGAGTAGCATGTTTAGGCAGTATCGAGGTAATGCAAAACGGCCACCGGAAGATTAACTAATCGCCAACATTATCCTAAAACATAAAATTGGAGAAAACAGATATTGATATTGCTCATTGCAAATCACAAGTTGCATTTCTGCCAAGAGTTTACTTAGTATAGAGGCAGCGTAGGATCCTTGGGGTACCTGGCGACTGGGTTGGTAATTGCAAATTCACCACCCCAAGCCTGTTGGGTGGGTAAGAACGAGTTGATGCAAATGCTGCATGTTTCGTGATGTCTGTTTCGGGGACCCACGCACCTGTGAAATCCAAAGGACTTGTCAACACCTTAAGGTGTAGGAGCAAGAAGCTACTAGGGGCTCCTGGCCTTACTACTAAGAGCAAGGACGCTAGCTACTAGGGGCTCCTGGCCTTACTACTAGGAGCAAGAAGCTACTAGGAACAAGAAGCTACTATAAACAAGAATTCAATAGAATTGTTGCCCAACAGTTTTCTTGCACCTTCGAGTCGTACAGTTCATGCTCGTTGAACACCGGGCCACCAAAAGCCCACTGGTTCGCACGGTGGGGAAGCATTTGAGGAGAGGTCGGGTGTTGACAAAAGAGCAACCCAAACCATCCTGGGTGCAATTTTTGATGGCACATCCGGGCACTGACTTGTTGCGCTTTGCAGGGTTTGTTGTCCAAACATGCTTTGCATGGCATGGGGACGTGACGAGCATAGTGGAGGCTCTCGGGCCCCATGGAAATCCTGCACATGCTACATCATCTCTCCAGAACGCCGTAAATTGTGGGAAGGTCCTTCTATTTTGCGGATGCTCACATGTGGCAAGTGTTGTCGCCTCACATAATGCACAGGTGTTGTAAGGGGGTCTTCCATGCTGGCAACTCATTCTTTACCTCAGAGTAATTTTGCGTTTAAGCTGAATGTTCTTTTTCTGTCTGTCTGGGTAACAGTAGGTCAACATTTTGCCGGTTCCAAGAGGATATGGCTTTCCCTAAGAATCCGTACCCTGAAATGGAAAGAATGGAAAGGGTGTTGAAATGGTTTTGAGGGTCCAGATTCCTACTAGTATGGAGGGTCCATGGAGTGTTCGGGCTAACAATTGAGGCCAAGCACAAGGCGAGTGTCTGACCCACCACCACCCAACCGACTCGGCGTTCGTTCGAACAGTGATTTCGTTTGCCAAGTCACCAAGAGCGGTCGACCCAGCTTCTCCTTCTTGGGGGCAGCCATGAATGGCTGTGCGTACGGCCCCATCTTGAAGTCGACTCACGCAGGTTACGTGTCGACTCACGCAGGCTTGCAAGGCTATATAGCTTGGGTGTGGCGGTGTGGGTGGAAGCATCTTAGAGTTTGGTGGCATCTTGAGTTTTGTGTGCAAGGCTCTGGCTTTAGCTCCTCCAGTGGGGTCTAGTTTTAGGGTTTTGCTGTTGTGGGTCGTTGTGATCCAACGCGTGCAGCAAAAGGTGTTCAAACAAGTCCACTTTGTATTGCAATATTTACATATCCAGTAGTAATGAAACAAGTTAACTTGCTGCCTTAAGGACAAGAAACACTTGAGTCAGTTGAAATATGTTTTTACTTGAATAATAATCATATATTAATAACTACAGGTTTTCATTGGTCATATTTGTTTGGTCAGTTTGGCTTGTGCCAGAGCTGCGTTCACGCTCCCACATTCATGGCTCCATGTCGAGTATAGACATATAGAACTCCTCTGGTTGAACAGAACTCCCCCAAACGGACCGGGCACCACACACAACGGCCACGGCTGCGGCCTGCACACCGTCGAGTCATAGCGGTGCCGAACGGTTTCCAGGTGCCGCCAGCGGGTCCAACACCGCACCGGCAAACAGCCGACGCCCGAATCGGTCAGCGCAGAATCGGTCAAGAGCCGTCCACATCGGCTCCGTTCACAAAGGTTGGAAGGATTCAGGCGTAGATCGAACTCGGTTCCGGGTCTGAGCAAAGAGGTACGCGGGTGCCACTGTTGGACTGATGTTCTCACTGTTGGCTAAGAGGTACGCGCTGGTGGGTCAAGCAGATAGTACGGTCTATGTACTATTAAACATGACTCTCATAGGAGAGGGCATTGAGAAGACTGTGAAGACTAAAAGATCTAAATGCAATATATAATATATAACTTGAGAGGAGGGAGACACGAAAGGTAGGACAGCGGGAAGAGAAGAGAACGCGAGAGGCAGGAACAAAAATGCAATGTTCGACATGGTGATGTATCCCCTCGGAGGCGACCTTTCGTACATATATGTTCATATGCACTTTAAATGTTCAAACATGTGCTCTCGAAATGTTCAAAAAGATTCTTAGGAAAACAAACTTGCCCCATGGCTCAGATCATCGGTGAGCATTGAATCGGAACATCATAGGATTTGAACTATCCTGAAACCATAAGAGGCTCACGAAGACGCTCCCCAGGAGAGAATTGACGTGCTTCACAGAACACCTTTCGTGATTAGAATTTCATATTCACTCTTTCTGAATGTTCAAGAGGGTTTCAACTATCCTGAAATCATGAGAGGCTCACGAAGACGATCTCCAGGAGAGAATTGATTTTAGAGGGGGGGAGGGGGGGGGGG